CTCGTTTATAGTTCATTTGCGGCAGTAATTTATCAAAATTTAGGTTATGCTTTTATGGTAGCATTTCATAAATTATAAATTCGATCTTAAGTTATAATAACTAAATAGCATTTCTACTATACTTCGTATGAAATCAATCCGTGTATTACTTAACGTAAAAATTGATGTAGTTATCTTACAGTATTGCATTAAGTTTTGTTTTAGTACGATAAAGTTTCAACAAGTATCAATTACTGATAGCTTACTAAGCTTACTACAAATGCTAAGAGTCTTCATAATTATGTAATGCAAAAACAGATTAATACCAAATACTTTTTAAGCTTGTTTATCTATAAGGATTATATCATTAATATACTGATGTGATACTATACAAGCATCTAACAAGTTAAGACGTGTCATAGCGAAGACCGAATGTTCTGCACAGTTTATTGGATGCTATTTGTAATGCAAAATGTCGCTATACTTATGTCGATCATTTTTATGATAACTATGCTATTGCTGTTCATTGGATAGAGAAACAAGTCGAGCAGACATCATCTACTGCAACTAGCGATGAAGGTAAGACTGGATAGCATTGATTATACTTAACTTTTGCAGCTTGCTCTTAACTATCTTACTAATGCAAATTGTTAGATGAGTGCATAATCATCTGCTGCTGCTAATAAATTAAATACGCACGCAGTTACCAGTAGAGTTATGAGCGGTTACTTTTAAGACATATATCGTCGATTTTTTTAATATTGATGATTTAAATATTATGCTAAACAGATAAAAAATTTATCCATGGCATGAAAATAAGTACTAATATCACCTCGTATAGCAGCTCCTTGTATCCGTCTAATATAGTTAATTTTCCCTTAATTGTACAGTTTAAACAGCTCACCTTTCACTTTCTGCACTATACAGTACATACATCAACTTTTATAAAAAAAAATTTATCGAAGTATTAGTGCAGACAGGAAAAAAATTGGCAATTGAATTAGATATTGACCGAAACGAAATGAAGAATATTTTACAAGAATATCCTAGTATGGATATGCGATGTTATGAAATGCTTTATTAGGTTAGAGTCTGCAAAACGATGACTAAAATTGGATAAAGTTTTACCTGATCATTATAGTAGATCAATGACTGTATGGAAAGTAATTTAAGTGATATCATGAAGACCAGGAATCATCGTTAGTCATTAGCTTAACTAAACTTAATTGTGAATATTTTCCAGTATTTATATACAGTACTATATAAGTGCATTTCCAGAAATCTTATCGATTCGTGATGTAGCTTATACAATCGATAATATGTCTATTTGGAAAGACACGAAAAAGGCCTTATTAAGTACATACAACTAAGAGTAATTTAAGCGATTCCATAAAGACTAGGAACCATCATTAGTAATTTAGCTTGACTAAACTTTATTTATGAATAATTCCAGTATTCATATAGAGTACTGTATGAGCGCATTCTCAGGAATCGTATCAATTTGTAAAGTAACTTTATAGAATCGGCACCATATCTATTTGGAAAGACATCACAAAGAGCTTATCTAAGCTCATATGGCTAAAGAGTAATTCGATATTATAAAGACTAGGAACTATCATTAGTAATTAGCTTGGCTGAACTTGTTGGTATAACAATTATTCCTTGGAAAAATTGATTGGAGAACTATCAAAATCTGATTCCAACATTCAAGGCCTTGAATTCATCGTATATGAAACGTTTATTTTGTGACCAAAAAAGAAGACTAGGATCAGATACAGGCAATATCAGGTACATAACGTAAATAACATATTATTACTGAAAAATTTTAATTTGATATGCCAATTATAGACTACTTCGTCTAGCCATGAACTAGCAGTAATACTTTACGGATCATTCAGTTTTAAACTACTGTTAACAAGATGCGATAAAATAGCATTTAAATATTCTACATTCTTAGTTTAGCAAAATATAGACAGTATACGATTCTTATCTGTCTTGGTTGCTCTCTAATTTTAGGAAAATGGACCTTATAAACTAGTTTAATTCTGTAGTGAATATTTTATCGTTTTTTGCCATAGACGAAAATCTGTCGACGACGATAAAAATGGAAGATGATGGGACGTCGAGGTTTCGGAGCAGGGGCTGGAGCACGACGACGACGGCGGCGGCGACGGCGCCAAAAGGCCTGCTATAGTAAATTTCAAGTTGAAAAGAGTTTTAGTATTTAGATAGATATATTTAAAAAATTTTTAATTTTATGGAATATTTGCATTAAAAGACTACTCATTTTCACAATTAACAGCGCAAAGTTAAACTAGTGAGAAGGAGCTGATTTTAGGATAAGATTGCTTGTAGAAATGTGCTATTAAATGACTTTGAATCCTCAATTATCATTATAGATTATCCTAACTATGAAATGTAAAATACTACCAAATTATGCCGTAACTATGATAAGCTTACTGATAATTATAGACAGTAGCTTCTATATGTATTATTATTATAAATTGCAAGGTATCTTATGATGAAATTGCTTTAGTAATGCACGATAAATTTACTTTGGATCATATAGTATCATAGTAGATCATACTACCTATGTAATATAGAATGTCACCGAATAATGCCTTAATTATGATAGATGTACTGATAATGATAGATAGCAGTCTCGTCTGCATGGTAGTATTATTAAAAGCTACGATGTATAATTATCCTAAATACTCACGGTGCTTTTCTCGGTTAGACCATTCTCAAATTCTGAATCGAATCCTTTATCCATGTCATAAGACTCATCTATTTCTCCAAGTTCGTTGTATGCATCTTTGTCGGCAATTTCGTACGGGTCTAGTTTATGGACATCCTTTTCAGCAATATCGTAATAGCCTGGTCCATGCCCACCCTTATTGTCATTATCGAGCTTAGAATTGTCATCTTCAGTGGCGTAAGCAAATGCAAAGAGAAATAGACACGCAATGAGAGCCAATTT